CTAGGGGGAGGAGGCCAGTTGGAGGCAGGTAGGAAAGCCTCTGGGGGATGTCCTTGGAGTCGTATCTCAGCCCGGTCCTTTCTTTGTCTGCCTCATGTCTAGCATGAGGTGAAGCATTCCTCTGCCGCAGGCTCCCACCATCGTGACATCTTAACCAAACACACAGGCTGAGCAACTGCGGCCTGGGCCCTCTGACCATGGCGTCTGGAGCAAATCCTTCCTCGTTCAAACTGTTTCTGTGAGACATCTGGCCATGGCGATAACAAACCCACTGTAGTGAAAGGACCAAGCAGACGCCACGACAGGCTGCCCAGTCTTCTCTCAGAGATCAGGCTGCAATTTCTGTTTCCTGAGACTTGAGCAAGCAGTTTCTGGGAGGGCCATGAACAAAAGACATAGTCCTTGCAGCAGCTCCCTTTCTGCATGTACTCCGACTGCTCAAGGTTCAGCCAGTTGTTTACTGTCTGGGACCCCTCACCAACTTAGAGCTACGTGCATGGGTCAAGGTGAACATGCGAGGCCAGCCAGCCTCCATGGCAGCTCAAGGACAGAGCCTGAGCCACGGAGTCAGCCCCCACAGTCAGTATGTGCTAGGCCAGCCAGCCTCCATGGCAGATCAAGGACAAAGCCTGGGACTTGTCCAGGCCTGCCCAAAAATCATAACTATAACCCCCAACTAACCCTAGCCAATTAAAAGTTACTAACATGATTGCCACTCGCATAAACCAATCCTGAGTCTGTTCCTATGTAGTCTGTAGACCCCCCAAGTCCCCTTTACTTTAAAAACCCTGCCCCATTGCTACTCAGGGTCTCTCCTGCTCTGCTGCTGCGTCAGACGGACAGAGATTCCTGAGTTAATTCCGTAGTAAAGACTCTGCTTTTGCATCAGATTTGGTCTCTTGGTGGTCTTTGGGTGACTCTGGGTACAACAGTAGAAACATAAACACTGGGTCTTCAGACATCTGAATTGTCTCCCAAGCCTTAGAAGCTGTGAGACACAACAAGCCCCATCCAAGACTGAAAACTACACCTGCCATTTCCCAGAGTGACCTGTCTTGTTCTAACTATCCATCTTCACTATAATCTAAGTCACTCTCAGCCCAGCTAACAGCAGATGATGACGATGACCCCTCCCCTTCAAAGTTGCTGTCTTACAGTGATCCACAACCAAGCACTGGGCTGAGCTCCTGGACTTCAGTTGAAGAGAGGGAGGAAGGATCACAGGAGCAAGTGAGATCAAGATCGTGATGGGGAAAACCACAGCGATAGCTGACCCAAGCTGGTGGGAGCTCATGGACACTGGCCTGTCAGCTGGGGGACATGCATGGGACTGAACTAGACCCTCTGAATGTGGGTGACAGTTATGTGGCTAAATCTGTTTGGGGAGCCTCTGGCAGTGGGACCAGGACTTACCCCGGGTGCATGAAATGGATTTTTGGAACGCATTCCCTAGGGTGGGACACCTTGCTCAGCCTTGACACAGGGGGAGGGGCTCGGTCCTGCCTCAAGTTAGTATGACAGATTTTGTTGACTCCCCAAGGAAGGACTTACCCTCTCTGAGGAGTGGATGGGGGTGGGATGGAGGGAGGTGGGGGGGAGAAGGGGAGGGGAAGGAAGGGGAACTGGGATTGGTATATAAAATGAAAAAAACCCTATTTTTTTTAATTAAAAAAAAAAAACTTGCTGTCGTAGCTCAGTTGCGTCAGCTCGCTTCTCTGCAATTTGTAATAGAAATTAATAACAAAAGGTGGACTCTTCCTCCTCCATTTTCCTGCAGAATGTCCTTTATGTAACCCTGGGAGTTCTAAGTCCTTTCAGCTCTTTCTTTGAAATAAGCGTGAGTCATTTTAGGATTTAAAGGAGCCACTTACCGGCTTTATGACTCAGGCCTGTCTTTCAGCCCTCTGAGATACAGACATTAAGGAGGTAGCATGGTAGCTCGAGGTTCCTTGTGGGAGCTGGGACTTGAGGTCAGCAGCTCCTGACTGCTGCCCCCATCACACAGACAGGCAGTGCCTTGCCTTCGCATGACATCAACTGACAAAGACAGATGTTGACCCGACTGTCAGATAGACTGGGAAGGGAACGTGTGTCTTTAGCAGTACTGCCGGGGCCCTTTGGTGTTTGCTTAGCTCATGTCCACTGGGCTGCACAAAAGGATGAGATGTCTGTCTGCAATCTCTTAGTAGATTGCTGTTGGTACATATCACATCCTGGTTTAAGGCGTATTAACAGTGTTCTTCCTGTACCTTTGGAGAAAGGTTTTCCAGATTGGGAGAGGATTCTGAGTTTTCCTGTGTTTTCTAAGTAGGACAAATCATCATCAACTTCCTCTTTTCCCAGAAGCACAGAGTCCTCTTGGGCCGCAGGTCCCCTGGCAAAAGATAAGTGTCCCCCCAAAAAACTCTTGTAACTCAAGCTGGTGGGTAGTAAGACCATTAGGAGGTGGGATTTAGGGAAAGGAAGTTCAGTTGCTATGGGAGTGGCCTTCCAAGGACTATTAGAACATTGGCTTCCCCTTCCTCTGTCTCCTGGGTGCCCTAAGGTAAACAGGCCTCTTGGACTATGCACCCCCACCACAGACTGCACTGCCCACAGGCTCAAAGCAATCCAGGATGGATGAACAACAGCAAAATACCCCAAACCTTTCTGGCCCTTAAGATGATTATCTCTGGTGTTTTGTCACAGTGACAGAAAGCTGGCAAGCACACTAGCACTAACGAGGACTTGAAGTAGGCAGTTGAGGGACTCCCTGAGTGTTACTACAGGCTTCCTACCCTGATTAGCAGCCCCTGGAGCTGAGGGCTGAAGCCTACCGAGGACAAGGTCATGTTCTGGAGTTCCCATCCTGACCTAGTGCAGTATACAAGCAATCCCATCATGCTGAATGCTCATCTCTACGTCACATGTGAATTAACCCAAGGTTACTCAGAGAAAGGAGTGGCCCCAGGGAGTCAGGACTTGAAGGGTGTCCAGGAGCCCACTGAAGGACAGGACTACAGAACCTCCAAGGGGTTTGGCAATTTTTCTTCTGGGAGGTTCACCTTTCCTGTATGGCTTATCTAAATAAAGTTCTTCTCAGCATGTTGCTAGCTCCTGGCTTCTATAAGGGAGCATGGATTCATTTCCCCCTGCATCTTCTTAAAGTTGATTCCCAGAGGCCACGGAGGACTGCAGGACTACAGCTTTTACAGCTGGGCTGTTACATCTGGAAACAAGCTGAGGTAGGGCTGGGAGGGGTCTCTGACCTGACGTGAAGCCACACGCTCAACGTGACTGTCTTCTCAGAGCCAAGTTACGCCGTTCAGCTGTTCACTTAAAGCATGATATGGAAAGAAAATAAATCAGGATCGCACAACGGCCTGGAGTCAAGATTTCACCTCGGCATCTGAGTTAGCCCAGGAGGGGACAGATGTGTTCATGTTTCATCCTTGGGGTTGTGTCTCGCCTTGCCCTCCATGCCCCAAGTAGGGGAGGTAGAGCAAGCAGGGGAAGTCCCGCCCACGTGCTGCAGGACCACCTGTGAGGCAGGCAGGGCCTGGATGTCCTCCCACTGTTATGGGCCAGATTCAAAGTGGCCCAGTAAGGAGGTTGGAATTTTCCGTTGCACGTTGCACGTGCATACACATGCTCACACCACCCTCTCTAGGCCCAGGCTGGCTGTCCCCTGCCCTGTTGTGCACTCTTCAGGCTCCTCCTTGGCTCTCAGGAGGCCAGACAAGAGATGGGAATGTGAGAGGAGATTTTTTTCAAAAGGTGTTTCTCCCTGAGTCACAGGCGTCCCCTCCCCTGGACCTGGTACTCACTGAAAGTCTGGTGTGTTTTTCTTGTCTCCTTTGGGACACCTCCCACTGATGTCACCTCTAACTGTGTCACCTCTGCGTCACCTCTAACTGTGGTCCCTTTCATTTCACCTCTCCTCAGGCAACAGATTCTCCGGCAGTCTGTGTTAGCGCATCTCCTTGCATCTGCCCAGTATGGTTCCCTGCACTCGTGGGATACCCTTGGGGTCCCCCACATTACAATATCATAACAGTCAGCTGGGTGACTGACCACACAGGGTCTGGCTAGGTAACACACTGGCCACCAGCCTGTCCCTGCCATCAGGATGCACTCTTGGATCAGCTTTCATGGTATCATTATTGTAATCCCAACACTCAGGGAACAAAGGCAAGATGATTAGAAAGTCAAGGTGATCCTTGGCTACCTGGTGAGTTTGAGTTTGATACTAGCCTGAGCTACATAAGACTCTGTCTCAGAGAGGGAGGGGGGATTGATTTCTAGGTCTCCCTATGGGCTTCTTAACTACCCTGAGGAAATCCCTACTCCCTTCCAGTAAGGGGTGGATGCAGCCACGTGCTTGGTGTCTCCTGCCGTTGTTCAACAGCCTTGACCCCAAGAGGGCATTCTGTTCACGTGGTGAGGTCCCTGGGTCTCAGCCAGGCCCAGTACCTCCCACAGATACCCTTGGCTAGTTCTACTGTGCTGTTGCTAAAGTGAGGGACTCTCCTCAAACCCACAAGGGGCCCCATGGGGTGGGAAACTGGAAACTCACTGAGGTTTTGTGTAAGAAAGTTTGAAAAAAGAACCAGCCAGCCTGGAACTGGCGGCAGGGTGTGTGTGTGTGTGTGTGTGTGTGTGTGTGTGTGTGTGTGTGTGTGTGTGTGTCACAGACACCATCTCATTGGCAAAGTCACCAATTCCTGTGATTTGTGTCCTATTTTGAAAGTGTGGAGACAGAGGAGGTACAGGGGAGCTGACCTGACAGAGGCTCTAACACCCACAAGTGACCCAGCCCGTCTCCTTGCCAGTGTGTGGGAAAGGATCCAGGCAGATGCTTGAGTAGACCTGAGCCACCGAATCTGCAGGACTAAAGGCAGCCGTCCTGGTTTGTGTTGGAAGCTGTTGTTTGCACACAGGAATTTCCCAACTGGGGAGCGCCTGTGACGAAGCCTGCCAGAACTCCTCTGCCTCCTGGAAAAACAGTGTGCAGTTGACTCTGCGTAACAGAAACCAGTTATGAAATGCAGATAACAGAGCCCAGGTGGCCACCATTCTTTCCCAGCTCCAGGGGAGAAGTCCTGGGAAACACAGCCTTAGGCCGGCAGCTGGCTCAGAGGCCCCTGGATTCCTTTGACTCTGAGATAAGTTCACAGATCCTACCATCATGCAACAGGGAGTTCCCAGAGCAAATGCTTCCTCCCTCGGAGTAGCTGTGAGTGCAGGGCTCTGGCCGGAAGAGGCTGCAGTCCACAGTGCTCTGGAGGAAACTGCCACTTCATGTCAACTCACTCAGCCTCCTCAGCGTGAGTCCTCATTTGCCAAAGGCATAACTGGGCAGCAGTTGCCGCTCTTCAAGACAGCAGAATGCAGGGGACCTGGAGAGTAGCCGGGCAGATGGGAGCCCCCAGTGCCTCCAGGCACACAAAGTTGATCAGCCTCATCGATTTTAGCCCACCGGCTTAACGAAAGGAAAAGTCTCATTTATGCGTCTCAAGCTGTAAACAAAACGTTTTGGCTTCCATGGAGGGAGGGATGACTCAGAAGCCCGGCTCAGCATTAGTCACAGCCTTCCTCTGTGAGCCTTCTTTTGTCAAAAGAGAGGCTGGGTGAGTGAGATGACCTTAAGGGTGACTTTGGAGGGCTGGAGGGGGGCTGTTCTCTGCTGAAGGTCCTATGAGCCAGCCTCCAACTCACCTGCCTGCTTTCCTCAGGTTCAGTTCTTCCTTCTGACATTGCCTACACTGACAGCCAATAATTCTTCTTAAGTAGCCTGGTGTCCCCCTCCCCCATCTTTCCCTAGCAGCGGAACCCCCTGGGAAACCATGACAGAACACCCTGCTTAATGGGGACCCACCCTTACCCAGATATCAACCCCCTGAGTCTACCTTTTTGGGCAGGTGAAGAGGAAAGCAATACTGTGTGTTGGGTCTGGGGTCATGCAATAATGGGGGGCAGACCACCAAAGTCTATTAAACCAGAAGCCCTGATATTACTGAGAAATGTGAAGATGTTTAAGAGATGGAGTCCAGGGAAAGATGGCTCTCACAGGACCCCAATTATTGCACCCATGAACGCAAGTTATTATGGTAGGAAGGCTTTTCCCTAGAGCGCTCTGGCTTCCCTTTCTAGTCATCAGATCTCTCCTTTCCTACATGCATACATGGACCATTTTGGCATGTAACCAAAAGAGTCCTCACTGGAGCTGAGCCGAGACCAGCACCAGCAGGCTCCTGAATCTTTATACCCGTGAGCTAAGTGAACCCCTATTCTTTATAAACAGTTTGTTAGAGAAACAAAAAAAAATTAGTTATACAATACCCAATATTTTGCTATAAATTCTAGATGCATCATCCACTGCTCCTGGTCAAAATAAAAGAAAAAAAACTATATTCTGTACTCACAGCGAATAAGTAAATTGATTGAGAGCCCTACAGTTCCAAAGACAACTGAAAGGGGTCAGATTGAATGCTTTGGCATCGTGCTAAAAATCAGATGAGATGGATTATCTGTCCAGGTCATCATCATGCTTGCACTTCACCTAACAAAGTGGGTATTGCAAGACCTGCTATTGGCCCAGGCCCCAGACTGGCTACACTGTTAATTGAGAGTCAGGCTAGACTGGCACAGCGTGCCCAGCACAGCTTTCTTCTACTGACCATCCCAAAGCCCCTGCTGCTGTGGTTTGAGATATAGGTGAGGTCCCATGCACTGGGTCCATTTCCTCATGGTCCGGGAGACCAAGGAACACCACAGCCATTGTCTAGTCACTTCTGCCATCAATATCTGCAAGCATCTGATAAACCAGTCTCATGTTGAGCAATGCAATGTGGAGATAGGATACACACACACACACACACACACACACACACCTGCGTAGCAACTCACCACAGATTCTCACCTGTTCACTTTCTAGACTACAGTGATGACTTGAAGCTGAAGCTCCCAGTTCCCATTCAGCATCATGAGAGAGGCTGTGAAGCAGCCATGGAAAGAAACCAACCAGAATTCCAAAGCAGACCTATCCAAAAGTCAAATCGATTCCGTAAGTTGTTTAATATGGAGAAAAGATCAAAATTCCAGGCAGAGTTTCTGTCCAGTGTATAACATTTTTCAGCCCATAATAAAATGGAAAATTGTCGGTTGACTTAGCAGAAGTCAGGGACCATCTGTAGAGCCCTGCTTTAGGATGACAGCCTAGTGAGAGGAGAGATCTCGAAGTTCCATTGGAAGGAGGTAGAGACACCCATGTGATGGCTAATCTGGTGTCAACTTGACTGGCCAGGACATGCCCATCAGCTACTTTAACATTATCTCTGGTAGTGTCCAGAGGGAGCTTCTTAAAGATGAGCACACTGGGGCGGCCCAGTCCAGCAGCCCGGTGTGGGAGTACATCCATCAACATGTAGAATAGAATGGGTAAGGGTGACAAAGCCTGATTGTTGGGCTGGTACATGGAGCTCTCTGGTTCTCAGGCCTTTAGACTTGGGCTGGAATCTATACCATGAGTCTTTTAACCTGGAGGTTTTACACTGTACCAGCTGGGGGTCCTAAGTCTCAAGCTTGCAGACAGGATGTCATGGACTGCTCATCTTCTATGAATACGAGTCAATTCCTCATCATAAGTCTTTCTTTAAATAGATATGAATGTAGACATAGATAGACGTGGTAGAGAAGAGTCGGGAAGGAGAGAGATGCCAATGGATCTGCTGGCTAACTTGTCTACAATCTTCTCTTTTCTCCAATATTCTGTCTAACATACCAGAAAACTCAAGTGCATGAATGACCCCTAGCCCACCTGGCAAGCTCCGGCCACTCTGGCTAGGCCTACCTTCATCTCCAAATAGAGATCCCAATTAGGTCAAGAGGCTCACACTCAGGAAACAGACCCAAGGAAGAAGACACTACAGGCTTATTAAGCAGGGTGGGGTGATATGACCCCCGAAGTGCAGGATTCAAGGTGCTAGTGCTGGGGTACAGCCTACAAGGAAGGATACAGGCAATGACTGGCCTCACTTGGAAGACTCGGTCACTCTGTGAGGAGGGCTTTCAGGAGCAAAGGATAGCAGGACTGGGGAGGGGCTACTCTTGCCATAGTCTGAGGCTGATACTAACAGCCACAGTAGGCATAGAAAAGCAACTAACAGGAAAGGGAGGCCCTCAGAAAGTCCAATGGATTCTGCAAGTAATTTCACCTATTTTACTATCATTCACCTATAAATCAATAGACCTAAAATGTATGACAGAACTTGGAAAATGGGAAGAGAGCCCGAATGAGAAATTATGTAGATCAAGGTAGCTTGTGGGAATATCTGTGGGAAATAAATGGTCTTGATTGTTCGTTGAAGTGGGAAGACCCACCCTGAAGTGTGGGAAGACCCACCCTGAAGTGGTGGACAGCACCATTGCATGGGTCGGGTCCTGACCTATGCGAAAGTGAGAACACTGGCTGAGCAGGAGCAAAAAGCAATCAAGTATGAGTTTATTCTCTCTTTGCTCTGGACCATGGGTGATATGACTAACTGCTTAAGTTCCAAATGATGGACTGTAACCTAGAATTAATTGTATGTAAAATGGATCCAACCTCTCCTCGGTTGCTGTTTGTCAAGATACGCATCACAGCGACATAAATTAAAACAAGACTCAGGTGAACTTTGAAAACCTTATGCCAAATCTAGACATGCAGAGGACCACAGGGCTCATGATTTAAAGTCCACCAACGGTCTGTATTTGGCAAAACTGCAGGGACATCAAGTAAGTTACTAGTTGCCTGGGGCTGCAGGTTGGAGATAGTAAGAGAGTAGTGACTAAAGACTATGAGATTATAAAGTTGCTTTAAGGTAGATGTAAAGTGGTGGTAATGGTTGCACAATATTGTGAAGATAATAAAACTCATTTTTTTAAAGTAATATACTACAGTACAGACATGACTAGCATTCCTTTTGAGAAATTCCTACCAAAATCACATGATCAGCATCTAATTATGGGGAAACATCAGATAAAGGCATCTGTGAAGATCCACAGAGGCTATCTAGTGAGAAATCACTCAGGGTCAGAGAATCTAAGCTTGCTTTACCAGCAGGACTGCATAAAATGATGATTTGGCCACAGGCATGCTTACCAGGTGTTTGGAAGGATCTACACTTGGCTGTGTGGTGTGCTTTGATCTTGCAAGGGGGAGGTCTTTTGCCTCTCCCCTTGTCATATTATAAAAAGCCCTTTAGAATAAAGTTCTGGGCAGCTGAGTATTGACCCAAGGCCCTCTCAAAGCTATCCTGTGTCTCTGTCTTTCTCCTCATTGTCTAGGTCTATCTTTCTACCTAATAGTTCCCCATTCCTCTCTCCTCCACCTGAGAACCCTTCGAAAGGTGGGAGCAGGTTGGAGCTGGACTCTGGCAGACTCCCACAGGCATCATCCAGAATAGCTGGTCTATCTTTTGTAGGAGTCATGGTCAAGAGAGATAACAAAGAACTGCAAAGAGTTCCCAGAAAGAACAAGTGAGACATGCAAGGTGGACCTGGATCTTAGAGGCCCAACTGTCTTTCTTCTATAAGCTGATCAGTGAGGCAACGTCCTTCATCTTAGTTCTTATAACTTGCATATTCTAATTTGCACCTCCATAACTATCAATGGTGTCTTACAGCTATCCATAACTTCCCAGCCTTTTGAGTTTTGTGAATATTGATTACTTATGTAATTGGCCAATTTTTCTACATTTTTCTTCAATTTTGCGAGTTTTAGCAGTAGTTCAATATGCATTAAAATATCTCCCTCCATCTGATCATTACCCCCTTGACTTATCCTATGACTTGCCCACAAGTTGGACAGAGGCCTTGGGTAGAGGACTGAGCCTATGGCCTCAGCCTATGGAGTCAGAGGAGCTGTTTGCAGGTGGAACTTCTTCTTGTGGTGGAGGTCAGGAGCCTGAAGCTCCTTCTGCTTCCCCTTTCCATTCCTGGCCATGAGGTGAGCAGCCGCCTCTGTCATACGTTCATGATGACATACCACCTCACCACAAGCCACAAAGCAATGAACCAACGAACAACTAGCCACAGGCTGAATCCTCCAAAACCATGAACCCAGGTGAACTTTTCTGCTTTTTGTGTTGATTATCTCAGGTGTTTTTTTTGCAGCCATGCAAAGTTGATAGCTTCATGTCTAGTACAATTTGATATTCAGAACCGTATGTACAGTCAAGTATATCGGTCTCTCCTAATATATAATACCTTCCTGGTTTATTGACTTTGATTAAGAAGTCTCCCTGCCGGGCAGTGGTGGCACACGCCTTTAATCCCAGCACTCAGGAGGCAGAGCCAGGTGGATCTCTGTGAGTTCGAGGCCAGCATGGACTACCAAGTGAGTCCCAGGAAAGGTGCAAAGCTACACAGAGAAACCCTGTCTCGAAAAACAACAACAACAAAAAAAGTCTCCCCTATCACAAGCATAAAAACATGGCTCCTTGCATTTTTGTTTTGTGATTTTTGAATTAAATACTTTTACATTTGATTTGTGTAGGATGTTTTGTAATATAGATGAAGGAGGGAGTTCGATTTTTCTTTTTCTAAAAATGATTTTTTTTTTTTTTGGTTTTATGTGTGCATGCACGTGTGTGTGCAGATGCCAGAAGAGGATGTCAGATCTCCTGGAGCTGGAGTGACAAGCAGTTATGAGCCACCGATATGGGTGCCGAGAACTCAGCTTGGGTCCTCTGGAAGAGCGGTGAGCGTTCTTAACCGCTGAGCCATCTTTACAGACCCCTCTTCTCTTGTTTGGTGGAGACTTAGTGGCGCCAACACCTGTGATAGGTAAATCATAAACCGACTCAAGAGAGACAGCACGGCATGGGCAGCACTCAACAAGCAGGTAGCCTGATCTGGGATATCCGCTCCACTGCTTTCTGTCTGTGTGACCTCAGGTTTGGGTGCCGGCTAGTTTTCATGCCAACTTGACACAGGTTAGAATCAACTGGGAAGAGAGAATATCAGTTGAGAAAATGCTCCTATGAGATTGCCCCGTCGGAACGCCTGCAGGACACTTTCTCGGTAGGATGATTGACATGGGAGGACCCAGTCCATTGAAGGTGTCACTATCCTGAAGTCAGCTTGGCCACAGTGACCTCACACAGGTAAACAGAAGAAAAGAAGGGGGCGTGGTATCTCTATCACTGCCCTCAGCCTGCCTGCCTGCCTGCCTGCCCACCCCTGGTGCCCCGAGACTGACTTTTCCTTCAGACAACTGAGGGCAAAGTTTCCAGAGTTTGGAAACACTTCAACCCTAATGACACCACGGTTTTCTCCACTGCAGGTACTCAAGGCCAATTTATTGTGAGAAGAGAAATGGAAAAGCACGGAAGGACAGACCTCTCCCCCCACCCCCCCACCCCCGTCCTGACCGCTCTATGACACTGTTCTTGCTCTGAGGCCCTTTGAACCCACTTTTCTTTTTTTTTTAAAGATTTATTTATTCATTATGTATACAGTGATCTTCCTGCATGTATGTCTGCAGGCCAGAAGAAGGCACCAGATCTCATTAGCTATTTTCAGTCAACTCCTACCACTGACAACTGCCATAGACCAAAGTTAACCCTCAATGAGTTCTACAGGACACCCAGCTATGCGTGGTTCCCTAGTCCCCCTGCCATGGGAGCCCAGCTATGTCAGGAAGAGCTGCAGGTTTGGGGCAAACATCAATGAGCTGTGTCCGGAAAGACTGTGGGGATATATACAAGTATCAACTAGCGGGACTCCTCTAAAACCTCGTTAATGAAAAGTTGTAAAACCATTTGTCTCTAAAAGTTTAACTTTGGAATTGTAAAAATCTTTTGTCCATGCCTAATGCTTTCCCCCTGATATACAAGGGGGGCTTGACACCTGCCCTGATGGCCACAGCCTCAGAATCCTGAACTCTGGCTGTGGTCTCAGCTAGCTGGTAAGCTTTTGTGTCCTACAGTGACTTTCTTTTCTTTCTTTGATTTTTTTTTTTCCTGGAATAAAGTTTGCTTCTGGTTTAATAGATGTTGGTAGTATGTCCTCCATTATTGCATGACCTCGGACCCAACACTAGCTAGCACTCCCATCATAAAGAACCACAGACTCAGGGGCTGAAGATCTTCTATCTGGTGCCTTGCAGAGGTTGCTGGCAGGGCATCGCTCCACCCAGAGGTGTGGTGTGCCATTTTCTAGCCTGTCCAGATTCCTAGGTCCCTGTTCCCCTGGGTGTTCACCCTTTCTTCCTTCAAATTACAATCTTCTGAAAGGTGAATTATTCATTCATATTTCTTCTGTACTTAACTTACTTTTTGTTTATTTGTTTTGTTGTTTTCTTTTGAGACAATGTTTCTCTGTGTAGTCCTGGCTATCCTGGAACATGCTCTGTAGACCAGGTTGGCCTCGAACTCGGAGACCTGCCTGCCTCTGCCTCCCAAGTGCTGGGATCAAAGGCACGCACCACCACTACCTGACTCATTTACTTTTAAATTTGGAATGCATTTCCATTTTTAATTCTTTTATTTCAATAATGCTGACTAAAGATGTCAAATGTCTTTTTTTTTTAAATTAAATTTTTATTATTCCAAACTTGCAAGTGTTCAAAACATCATTGAAACTGCATTGGCCTTTTGTTTTAAAATAATGTCTGCAATTCAGGCTTGGTTTGTAAAATTCTCTTTACTTAACGAGTGCCATGTCATTAGGTGTGTGGACGCCTTTTTCTTACATCGAGTCTAATGATTGAATGATAACAGAACAGCTACAGGAAGTGACTGTGGGGTTTGTGGCCAGTACCTTACCCGAACTTCCTTCCCTTCCTGCTCCCCTGCCCCCACCAGTCACGTTCCTTGTCACTGTCACTCTCAAAGGTCAACTGGAGAGATATCCAGAGAATCTAGTCTCTAGAGGAAGGACATGCTCCGGTGAAATGGAAGTATAAAGTTTATCATTTCCTTATGGTGAATCTTCCCCTCTCCCCTCATCTCCTCTCCCCTCCCCTCCCCTCCTCTCCTTTTCCCTTCTCTCCCATTCCCTCCCCTTCACTCTCCTCTCCTTCCCCATTTCCTCTCCTCCCCTCCCCTCCCTTCCACTCCACTCTCCCCCTCTCCTCTCCTTCCCCATTTCCTTCACTCCCCTCCCCTCCTCTTTCCTCCCCTCCTTTCCCCTTCCTTCCACTCCACTCTTCCCCTCTCTCCTGTCCTTCCCCATTTCCTTCACTCCCCTCCTATTTTCTCCCATCCCACAGCTTCTCTCCCCTATTCTCTCTTCTCTTGTCCTCCTCCCCCTTCTTCTCTTCCGCTTCTCTCCCCTCCCCTCTCCTCTCCCCTCTCTTCCTCCCGTCTCCACTCTCCCCCTCCCCTCCTCTTCTCTTTCCTTACCAGGACATAACAAACATGTTGGTGATTATTTTTTAAAGCCAAATGCTTTCTTTCCACTGAAACCTATGCAGAAACCCTGTGATGACGTGGGAACTGATGAGGCTGTAGACTAAGTTGGACTGTTATGCTAGATGGTGGCAGTGGGCCAAGCTCTCTGAGACACACGTTAGATGATGGCCGCTCCTAACATGTTTCTGAAGTGATTGACCCAAGGATGTAAGAAGCGGGGGTTGGTGAAATCAAAGCCAGACATATGACTGTGGAAAGAGGAAGGATGTCAATCTGCTAATCACTGAGGTTAACATCTTTGCTGTGACTATGAAGTTTGACTCATAATTTTCTTGAGAAAACAAAGCAAGAATGGCAGCGGAGGGCTATCCTCCGCAGAGAGGAGGAAGTGTCCCCTGTTGTCCGCCCAGCCTTCTTCAAAGGTTCCGAGACACTTGTGGCATATTTGTGAGATAAATACCAAGATGATTTCCAACCCCCCCGCTGTCCCCAGACAACATTGTGTAGCAGCAGATGGAGAAGAGCATTCCACCTGTGTGCCTAATAAAACCAAAGCCAAACAACAAGGAAGCAATAAAATCTCAGCGAAGGTCCCAAGTCAAACCATCTAGGGAAAGAACGCTTCTTCCAACCAGATGAAAGCAGCCGGATCCTGGGAGCCTCACCATCCAGATGATTGTCATTGTACATCTCGTTAAGGGCAGGGCTTCTTCATAGCACCCCTTCTTCCTGGAGCAGTGGTGGGCACCATGGCTTTAGATAGATGTTCTCCTACAGGCTGTCTTTCTCAGCTTAGATTAGGGTCACAGGCACACATCTGGTGAGCTGAGCTTGTCCTCGATGAGGAGGGCTCCCATCTCTTATGTAGCAGAGGAGTAGACAGGTGAGTCAATAGGTGAGCTGGCTACCTTGTGTGAAAATTCCAAAGCCTAATCAGGTTTTTTTTTTTTTCCCCCAAAGAGACTGGAGTCGTGTAGACACCATGGGATGACAGCTGGAGTGACTCCAGATCCACCTGACCCAGGAAGTGATGCCACATCCTGGGGCTTTGGGACACCACCACACCTAAATATTTATGTTTGTATCAGCAGACCTGATTTTGATCAGTAGACTCATTTCGATTTGGCTTCGGAGTTAAAGTGGGCCTTCCTACTTCAATGCACCCAATCTAGGAAATCCTTTAAGCATGCCCAGAGATTCGTCTCCAAGGTGATTCTATATCCTGTCCAGTTGGCCAGCAGCATTAACCATCCCAGTGTGTATGTGCTTAGGTTGTAAAAGCATCTTGATGTGGTGTTTCCTTATGAGTTACTTATACTTCAGTACGATGTGACATTCTTCTCTTTTAATTTTGGTTTGAAGACTATTTTGTCAGATATCAGAACAGTGGCACCTGTTTGCTATCTAGGTCCAGTTAGAATAACTTTTTCCATGATTTTACCCTAAGGTTGTATTTTTCTTGGAGGCAACAAAGAGCTGGATATTGTTTTTTAATTCAATGGATAGTCTATGTCTTTTGGTTATGGGACTGAGTCCATTACTACTCAAAATTATTTTTGGAAGATGTATGTTAATTCCTGTCATTTTGCAGTTTCTTCTTGTGGTCTGAACAGGAATGGCCCCCATAGGTTCTTATGTTTGAATGCTTGGTCCCTAGTTGATAGAACTGTTGGTGAAAGCTTAGGAGGTGTGGACTTGTTGGAGATGTAGGTCCCTGGAGGTGGGTTCTCAGGTTTCAAAAGCCACCACTGTTGCTAGTTAGCTCCCTGCCCTATGCTTGTGGATTAAAGTGTGAGCTCTCAGCTACTACTCCAGCGCACCATGCCTGCCTGCCTGCAGCCATGCTCCCTGCCATGATGGCCATGAACTCTAACTCCCCTGAGCCCCAAATCAAATGCTTTCTTTTAAAGTTGCCTTGGTCATAGCACTTTGTCACAGCAATTAAAAGGTAACTAAGACAAATATTTTCCTATTTCACATTTGCATAACTACTAGTTAGCATTCTTTTTCTTCCCATAGCCTCATGATGTATTTATCTTTTCAATTCAGAAGCGCTTCAAGAGTCTTTTTAGTGCTCATTAAGTTTTTTAGTTTGCCTTTATCATGGGAAGATTTTCCTTATCCTTCAATCATGATAGTTTTGTTAGAGATAGTAAACGTGATTGGAGTTACTGTTTTTCAGTTTGAACAACACTGTTCCAAGCCTTCATAGAAGTTTCTGTGGAGAAACCTGTTATTCTGATGAATTTACCTTTATATGTAACTTGGTACATCTCTCTTTTGGCTTTCAACATTTTTTTTTTTTTCTGTTTTGCTTTGATTGTTTTCGTTGTTGTTTGTTTTTTGTTTTCAAGACAGGTTTTCTCTGTTTAGCTCTGTCTTGGAACTCACTCTGTAGACCAGGCTGGCCTCAGACTCTGAGATTCACCTGCCTCTGCCTCCCTAGTGCTGGATTTAAAAGCATGCACTTCCACCACCCAGCCAATATTTTCATTTTCTATGCTGAGTTTTGGCTTTAATATGGCATAAGACTGCTCAAGAAAGTTGCATTGAAGGAGAGTCAACAACATGATTTTGGTGGCTTTTGATGTTGTATGGTTCAAAGAATTTGGAGATTAACTTAAAATGTATTAGTGTGCTTATTTTTATTTAAAGAAACATCCTTTAGTTAATGGTGGTTTATAAGGTAATATATCCACTATTATGTATACACAATATGTTCAGATCATTCAGATGAAACTGATGAAAATAGGTCAAAGGAATTCTTACTATGGGAAGAATTCTTGCTATTCTTACAGGGAAGTTTAGGGTCTGCTTTGATTATAAACATGGCTTGTATTCTTGTGGGATACTCAAGAGAGTTACAGGCTTATAGATGAGAGGTACCAAACCAAACTCAGAAAAGAAGCATCACATTTAATCTCATTATTCTTTTGTAGTCTTATTTGATGTACTCCTCAAGAAAATAGAACATTGTCTCCATATATCAATCCCCTCAGGAACTTTGTGAGGTGCTAGTTATTCAAGTTTCTCAGTCAGCAAGAAACTCAAACCAAATTCCAGATATGTGGGTCCCTTTCCACATCCCCTTGATTTTCTCTTCCTATCCTGTCTCGAGCTCCCCCTCCAAAACCTCAGTCCCTTAAACTTAAAAGTTGGTGGTGGCCAATGTTCCATTTGTCAAAGACTTTTTATGCTGGGTAAGGATGTAGACTCTGTCTACCCAGGGACTATCAGTCTCCACCAGTCTAATCTAAGAGAACAGGATAATGTCTGAGCTCAGACATCAGAGAATCATTTGATGGCAATCTGGAGAGAGGTTCATTTATTGAGACATTAAACTGCCTAAACAATAAAGCATATAGCTGATCATTGTCCCTGACCCTAAAATAAACACTGTGTTAAGTAGAGTTCTCTAGAGGAACAGAATGGATAGATGTAAAAAAAAAAAAAAAGTATTATTAAAGGGAATTCACTAGATTACCTTATAATCTACAGGGGCTGGGTAGTCCAGCAATGGCAGTCTACAGAGGGGAGAGGGTGAGTACCCTGTAGCTGCTCAGTCTATGAAGCAGGATACCCCAACAGTTGCAGTCTGGTTCTAAAGACCTGGAGGATTCCTGGAGAGCTGTTGGTCTT